AATCTGATATTTGTCTATGAAAATAGAGCATGTCCTTTCTTTCCAACTCCTTCTTTCCACTCATCTCCAATACCTATTTCAACCTATTTTTAATTTTATATATTTTAATCTCCTTATTTTTTAATACATACATACACACACGTGTGTATATGTATGTATATGTATATGTGCGTGTGTATATCAGCTGCTGCTTAGGACATTTTGCTACAGAAATACTTTCAAAGGTTGAAAATCTATTGCTTTATGCATACTGTAAGGACAAGTATAGTATGAGGGAAGTGTTTCAAAGATTTTTCATTATTGCATAACATTCCCACTTTTCTAATAAAGAATTAGGGTTGGCAACAATTCATTGCTTCGCTAACACAGTACAACCTTGTCCTGGCAGGTAACCACTATTGGCATGAAAATCCAATAAAATTCAGATGCCTCCTGATCAAAATGGGTAGCCCTCCAATTCACCCTGGACTCTAAACTGCTCACTGCAAGCTCTCACTCTGAAATACAGCCAACCCTTGTCAATCACAGTCTTTGAAAACATTACAGGATTCTCAACTATCCTTAATAGGAGGCTGTGGGGAGAAAGCAAGTTAAAGGGTTTTTTCCGTCTGGAAAAGACATAGTTTTTTTTTTTTTTTTACTCATTTATTTCTCTCCTAGGACTCATTTTTATGTCAAAACTGTAACCCGCCAGGACCAGCTGACAAAATGTTGCTGCCTGTGGCAGAATAGCAAGTGGTGTCTGCCCAAATCAAGCCGTAGAACACTTAAGGTCAGCCCAAGTTATTTGGGCAAGTAAGCCAACAGGGCTCCCCTTCCTGAGAGTAAAAACATAATAAAAGATACATTAGATTTACTGCTCATTCACAATGCCCAAATCCAGCTGCCTAGCAAAGCTGCAACACTGTGTTCAATAGCAGAGCCGGCCCTGATTTATTTGTCACTTTAAATCTCTTCCTATGGGAGCCTTATTAAATGGCAAGCCATTCATGCAGAACGGCTTGTTTTGTAGTTGAGAATGGATTTTCTTTACTTTTCTTCAGGGTTACAGTGGTAACCTTCTTTCCACATAAAACGGCATTCTGTGACCTCCACAAAGTATAAAGCAGCCCATGCTGAAAGAAAGAAAAGGAATTAAATTACACAAGGGATCTGTTAGCATGAGTGATGAGCTGCTTCACATGCACATGTGAACTTGGTCATGGAAGACAAATATAGTCAGAGTCACTGGCAGCTTCTTTTTAACAGCTATAATGCATTTAGCAGTTGGGGAAGGGGGGGGTACAAAATTCAGTAGCCATCTTAAGTTTCTCCTTTTAGTAAAGATGGATGAATGGATGGAATCAGAAAGGAAGATTATTAAGACTCAGACTCTGTTCGGTTATCAGGTCAAAGATCAATTTTATAGCAAGCTTCTTTAGGTTCTTCTGAGCCTGTGGTCCAAGTGTTTCTCTTAGCACAAATCTAATTTGTTCCCTCCATTTGAATAAAACATGGTAGAGACCCTTTATGAAGGCCCACAATGGGTAGTTTAATGTGATTTAATCTTACTTTAGATTAGATTATATTTACAGTCTTCATGACAATGTGTGCAAGGACCCTTTCTTAGTCTTCTTTTATAACCACTACAGTATTAAAAATAATGTCCAGTTGGGAGAATGTGCTGATGCATAACATTTTAGTTCACAAAATGTCCAGTGTCACAAGGGTCAACCACTAAGAACATCAACTTCTCATATTATATTCAGCTCAAAGGTACAGTTGAAGCTCAAATTTAGTGGAAGGAGTAGGAGAGGGCAGGACTCTGTAATTCTAGATTAGATTTTTTTCCCCCAAAAAAACAAAAAGCTTAGTTCAATATTGCACAAACCATTAATAGCTCTCTCTTCAGAATCTAAAATAATTAGCAGTGGCTGAAAACTGCTTTGGAAAGGGAATGGACTGCAGATAGTAGACCATGGAAAGTTTGTGGAACACTGATTCCACTCACTTGAACTACGACTAGAGATATAGGTGCAAATTAAAATGGTTAATCTCTCCATAAGCTATTGAAAGAGTAATAGAGAAGACAAATAACAGTTGTTTGCTCCTACAAGTGAAGGAGCAAATAATCTCTGTTGATTAAACAAGAAACTGTGTATTGCATCTTTCTCTGTGTTTGACTTTCTGCATTTTCTGTCCCTCTCTCTCTTCCTGAAATATACCTGAGATGTTATGCTAAACATCTAGAGGATGGGAGGAAGGCATAAAGAAAAATCTAGAAATGAAAGAAACAGGACAGGGGGATAAGTTGGTTAAAAAATAAGAGTCAGAATTAAGGCTGAAAGAATACAGTCATGTATGAAGATTGGCAGCCTTGAGAGGCCCTGAAGAGGCCTCAGAACAGAAACCCACACCACTAGTTCTGCTTGGACTGCAACAGTCAAGCTAATTAAAAATAAAAAGTTTGGCTGGAAGCATTCAAAATACCCAT